TAAGAGTTTCAGCCATCTCTGCTGCCAGTTGTGCTTTCATTGATCTATAGCATCTAAAACCTCTCTCTCCACACCCTGCAAGGCAGGGTCCCGGGTGCAGCTCAGCTGTGGCACAGGAGAGCCGAAACGCTCGGAGCTGGCGACAGGGCAATTGCAGGGGACAGCACAATCCTGTTTACAGGACTCGGAGACCAAGATAGGAGACTCGGTTTTAAGTCCGAGGTCCACGACTTTTCGTCTTTTGTGATCATAGAGTATATTTAGCTTTGGTATGTAGCTTGCTCCCATCTGCGGGGAACAAGTTCCTCATATAAGTCATATTTAGAAGTGACCCGGTGTCCTTGCTACCAAATTATCAGCACAACAACTGTCTGGTTCCCTCGCTGGTGTCCTCAGCTCAGAGGCGGGCCGGTCAGAGCTGCATTTATCATTCGAATTACTGGGCATGTGTTTAATACTCCAGAGTTAGGGACCAGTATGCCAACAGCTGCTCAAAGGAAAGATGAGATCAGGTACAAGCTGGACTGCTCTGAAAATTCAGACGCGTGTGTGAATCTGCCGCGTTGGGACTAAGCGGCACCAGCCAGATCAGAATAGGAGAATTTTGCATCTGCCACTCCCCAGCTCCTGCAACGAGGAGAAAGGACTCGGGTCTCTGCTGCTAAGGCAGCCGCTCTCACGCCAGTGAGGATGAAGAGCAAATCCACCGAAGGCAACGGAATCACGCAGAGAAGACGGCGCAACTCGAGTCGCGCTGTGAAGACAAAGCCGGAGCCAGCTCAGCCCGGCTCTCCATCACCCGCAGGCCTGTGCCCTGGCTGCGCTGCCACAGCACGTGGCACCTTCACCGGGAGCCTGTCCCCTGCAGAAGGTCCAGCACTGCCCTGAGCTTGGCACACCATTTACGTAGCCGAGTGTAAGGTCAGCGTATCAGACCGTGCTCTCCTACGGGCCTATACTGGATGCAGGACATGAGCAAATCGTGCCCGAAACCAAAACAAATTGTATACCAAGCCCTTGGGTATGATACCAGCATTTGCCACCTTGACGTAGACATTCAAGAAAATTCACAAAGCCATCTGATCTGCTCATAAATACATGTCTACTTTTAAAAGAAACGAAACAAAAAAAAAAATCAGCTCTTTCTGACCAGCAAGCATTTGGTCTGAATAGCAGTAACCATGCCCGAGAACCAGCAGCTGAGGCCATTTGGAACATGGATTTGAACATTTCTTAGGAAATCCCCCCCCCCCAAAAGCTTTATTGTTACTGGCACAGGATAAGCAACAGGTGCCGGGTGCACCATCCCCACAGAGCTGCTCGTGGCCAGCAGAACAGCCCGGGGTCCTGCGCCGGGCCAGCTTTCGGGTAAGCGGTGCAATAGGAAGTCGGAGCACGGGGATGCCAGCTGACAGAGGCTGAGCAGAGCAAGGCCAGCATGTGCCGGTTTATAAGCATAACCACAGAAAAGATGAAAGTTTTTCTCTTTTTATTTTTAACCCAATAGAGAAGTTTTAAGGATAAACAGCTGCGAGGGAGGGTGGGCTGACACAAAGAGGGACTTTCTTTGCTTCTTAACTGCAGCAGCATCAATGCATGAAATTTCAAATTCAAAAAGATTTAACTCTTTCTGATGCTGCCCGAGATCAAATGCCGGTCAGAGTCAGGGGGCCACAAAAATAAGCAACTACACAAGGACGGGCAGCGGGGTCTCTGGAGCAGCAACGTGCAAGATACAGAAAGAGCTGGATCCTGTGGCAAGAGGCAGCCACACGCTTCCCAGAGCTCAGTCACTCTCTCAGGCACCGGTAGATCTCCCACACAGATAACTCCTTCGCTGAGGCACGGCCACAGGAATGCACCTGCCATACGCTGCTCGTGTCCAGAGCAGCAAGCCCGGCTGCAAAGAGGAGAACCAGGGAATCCCCATTCCCTGCACAGACTCAAACCTGTCTCAAGCCCCGGGGTCCCAGAGGAGAGGACCAAGACAGGGGTTCAGCA